GGTCGAGGGGCCTGTGAACCGCCAGGTGAGAGCGCATAGGCGTTATGCCACTGTCCACAATGTTGATAATGAAGATAAGCTCAGCAGGCTCTAAATTTAATATCACAAGCAAATATTGAATTCATTTAACATTTTTAATACCAAATAAAATGTATTGCTAACCAATTTTAGGGGCTAAGCAAAGAATATACAACAAATTACTTATGCATGTTATATGGATATATACTTCCTGTGGAAATGAGGAACATGATAAAACAACATTAAAAAATTGAAAACACATACCTCAATCCTAATTCATAATTTTGATTGGCCTGTTGAGGCTGCCTTTAGTTTTATTCAGATCTTCAGTTCTGGTGTCAGCATAACTGTACATATGCCTCTCTCCATTTATACCTCAATTTCACAATGAATTGTATTTATCATAATTTAATAATAATAATAATAATAATAATTTTTTATGAAAAAATACAATTTATTCATTTAATTATATATTTTAATAGACTTGTAAGTTTTGACATTAAATTTGAAATAGCTGTAAATACAAAATATTGCACTTTTGTAAATCTTGTAAATTGAATTTATACTGAACTCCTTCCTATTCATGCTACATATACAGTAATTAACTGTTGTACGTGTATTTTCAAATTGAAGTTTTTGTACTGGGTCTCTAACTGCATTGCTGTTAGGGTCACTCCTCATTAAATTAAGTTGAAAAATGCATCTGAATTAGTGAGAAAAATATATTATGGTTCTAATTTTCTAATAAAAATTAATAACTTGGTTACCTAAATGCTAGTGAATGTAATTTTGTATCACAATGATGCAACAGTTAACTTAGTTGCTGGTGGAATTTGAATTGCTCAAATGAAAATGAAAGCCTAGATTTGTGGAAAATTTTGTTTTGAATCACATTCATTTTATTCTTCTGGCAGCTAACAGTTACAAGAGCAAGTATTTATTAGACATTTAAAATTGTGTTACTTCTGTTATACTGGATACGAGGAAGTGTTTTTTTAATAGAACTGAGTGAGGAAAGTATTACCTCACTTTACTTAAGAATCAATGGAAAAAAATCCATAAAAGCTTGAGGTAATCAAAGATTATAGGTGGGTAAAGACTAAATTCACTAGCCAAGAGGAACATTTTATTTATATATCATGCATAATCAATTACTGTACCAGAGATCCAGGGAGAGTGACAGTATGATGCATACTGCCGCGACCATGTTCTAGCGAATCTAAGCGAGCGTTGCAACGAGTGGAATATATGTCGTCCAGGTTCTGAACTGGATTTAAGAGTGGGTAAGATGTGATTGCATCTCTACACCTCAGGTTGTATGGCTTGGGTTATGGAGTGTCATTTTTGTCAATAAATGTATATACTAGTTTCTGTGATACCACTTCCGACAAATTTTGAACGCCGGCCATGCCCACTCATGGGTACACTTCAGTTTTTTTTTCTCTTTCCTCTTCTCACTATTTTTCTTCTATTCTTTAATTTCTTGGCACCATTATTTTCGTCGTGATCATCATTATTTTTACTGCAACACACGTGCAGTTATTCTTATTGTTTGGTTCTTTCAAACATTGCCAAAGACAATAAACTTTAAAAAAAAGGTTTATGGGTGTTCTGTGTCCAATAATAGTACCCTGTAATGCGAATGACAAAAATACCACAATAAACAAAAACAATTCACACACATCAGTACTATGTTTAAGTATTCACTGTTTATTTTGTTTTAGGATATATTCATACTTCTAAACATATTCAATATTCAATATTCTGTAGAAAATAATCGACAACTCACAATACAAACCAATAAGGTCTACAATTGCATTCTGCTATGTGAATTATGTTTAACTACAGTCCTTGGGAAATACAGTAATTGTACATGTCACGATAAAATACACGCAAAATAATGCACAGAAATAATCATTTTACATTCTTGCTTAGACAAAAAAAAAATCATATTAAAATAAATTCAAATAGTATGTTTACAGTTCAATTAATGTTTTATACATTTATCTTTAACTAATGTTTACCATTAATTAATGCTTTTATACATTCATTATATTATCATTACATCAACATAATTAATTTCTTTTTTTCAATGAATCAAGTTTGCTTTTTACACTTTCAAAACATTGTAAAATAATATTCTTGTTTCATCAGTCATTTAATAACTGTATTTAAAATCATCTTTATAATTCAAAATGCAGTCTTTCTTTAAAAAACAAAATATTGATGATAAACAACTACTTTTGTTTTATATAATTAAGTATACATACACGTATTGAAATAACACAGACTGAGTGATGAATGATTTCACAAGTCTGGACAGCCAAAATAATTATACAGTATTTTATTAAAATTGCCTTGGTATTAGGCAGTTCAATTATGAAAAGCCAAATGTATCAAAATACCTCCTACTGTATGTGGTGATAATTCATGCTTGAATGAATTTGAATGAACGTGTTAGAGAACGTCTTGTAAAAACCTTTGAAATGTTATCGTATGTTTTTAGCAGAAAGTTCTTTAGGCAACTAAAAACGTAATGAATTTTCGTTTAAAAAAAAATCCATTTAAATTTCCAGCCAAAAATATATAAAAACAAGAAACACCTTACTGTTTGAACAGTCAGTTATGTACCAGAAAGTTCTTTAAATAAGATGTTAATTGTATGCAAATCATTACATTGCAATACAAAAGTAATAAAGAATGAGTACTTCATATAAAAGAAAAGTAACAAAGGATTTTGGATTTTTTGGTTTTTTCTTGCACTTTAAGACCCCAGATATGAGTAGGAAATACATGTGATTTTAAATAATTAAAACAAAATAAACCATAGCTACATATTGAACAAATACAATTATCAGTCTAAATAATGTTCCTTTCTGTTTGCTTGCTATAGTGGAGCAAAAGTATATATATGGCAATTAATTTCCATTTTTATGCACAAAACAAGAATAAATTATATAACAATAATGACAGAGATGATCTTAGTGATGATATTGTTAATGATGACGGTGATGATGTCAGTGACTGTCATGAAGATAATGATGCTACTAATGTTAATAATGATTTTGGGACTTCTGGCTCACAGTCATAGAAGCATTGGCTTCTTCAAATTAGGTCTTTAGACCTTTTTTAAGGTATAATAAATAAATGAAATGAAGACAACGTCTATGATTAATAGAGGAACAAGGGTGGAAAAACCTTATACAGAATGTTTAAACAACTTCCATTTCGACACATTTCTATTAATTACAGAAATCAAATTGAATACATGGAATGTACAATTCATTTGAAGACTACAAAAAAGAAACAATGGTTACATTGATTGAGGATAAAAGAGGGATATATATTCAGGGAAAAAGGAAAAAGACAGACCTTCTAAGGCAAAGAGAGTAAAGATGCTATATTGAGATAATGATTAGCATTTAATTTGGTGGAAACAGATAAATGTGTCAGATCCCTAGCTTTTACAAAGAAAAAAAAAATTATAACTACATATCTTTAATAATAAAAATATAATTAAGTCATACATTTTATAGATATTTCAACCATTTTTAGAATATTTTAAGGTGCTTTTAGCCATTGACAATGTTTTTCAATGCATAGTTGGAAAAAAAAAAACCAAAAAAAACACCTATTTGGCATTGCACAAACATATATAAGAAACTGGTTGAACAAAGACAAACAAAAATCCTTATTAAGATATACTTAATTTTCTACATAAATGTGAACATATAAAAACCTTATTATCAATGAGTTGGACATGGAAACCTATACTCTGTATACAGTACATATAATAATAGCATTTGAATTTAATTTCCTTGTTATTCCTGCACAATACCAATGCTGATTTTAAAAATTACACATTTAGGATAGAAGGATCGTGATGATATAAACCTGAGATTTATAAACATTAGACACATTTGACTCTAATGGCTGTCCACACTATTTATGATGCCAGTGCTGCATGATAATATTTCAATATTGAGTTACCGATCTGGAATTGGCTGATATGCTGCATGAAACATCATTTGCACAAGGAACGGATCTATGATTTTGAGAACAAGGTTACAAGGTGAAGGTGGGGTGGGAAGGGGAGTGGCAATGCATGGATACAAGAAGAGGGTGTATTTAAAATTATTCTTATTATTGAAATTAGCATTTTTATCAGCCACTTCCTTCTTCTCGATAACTACTTCTCTACCCTGAGAATGTTAGAATGAACTGAATTTCACAAATGTCATCTGACAATCCAGCATGGACACATGGCACTGCATAAACGTCAGTGACAATCCAGCACGGTCACATGGCACTGCATGAATGTCATGTAATAATCCAGCATGGTTACATGGCAAATCCAGCATGGTCACATGGCACTGCATGAATGTCATGTAATAATCCAGTATGGTCACATGGCACTGCATGATTTTCATGACAATCCAGCATGGTCACATAGCATTGCATGAATGTCATAAGACAACACAAGACACTAATATTTCTCTGAAATCGAGTCAATTATTGTTATTTTTTTAGAGCACTTTTATCAATACTTTCTATTTTTTGTGAACTGTGTTTAATGCATATAGTGGTAAGTTTAATTAAGTACTATTCTTTGGACAATAAAATGATTAGAAGTGCAGGAAGAGAAAACAAAATCTACTCTGACTCTGATATGTATACGAAGATTCACAAGGAATCTCTACTCAAAACCCATTACAAAAACCTTCATGTAAAAGAATAAAATCGCCTAAAGAAATATATCAAAAAACTATTTTTTAATCAATCTTATGACTTCAAGGTATATTGCAACAGACTGACATCATGCTAAAGCTATGTCCAGATTATCAAATTTTGTTCATATATAGTCATAATGTGCCTATATATGGTCATGATGTGCCTATATATGGTCATGATGTGATGTCATCATGACCATATTTAGGCATGTCACATGTTTTTGTCAAATAAAATTTGATAGTCTGGTCCCTTCTATTTCTATCTTTTTTACAATTGGTCCTTTTATATTTAAATGGTACTTTCTTATTCTCGCATCAGGTAACCTTCTACTATCCTACTAAAGTAGATGGTCTATTTACATCTTATGTGAGATAATTGGTTTTACATATAGATATATTTATATATACCGTTTATTATATAAATATATGTATATATATATGAAATATGGTCCACCATTTTCTTAATACATATAAATTATTTTTCTTTCTCTATCTTACACAAGATCATATTATTCCAGAAAAGACTATAAATTATCAATTATCTCGTATGAGATAAATGTTGTCTTACTTATTTAGTACTTTCTATATCTCTCAACTTATAATATATGTATATTAATACATTAAGGCCTTCCTCTGATCTCACATATGATGACTACTGCTCTCTGATGTTAAGTGAATTGAAAATCCTCCTCTGATCTCACATGTGATGAAGATGGCTCTATATATCACACGTAAAATAATGATGGTCCTACACTGTTCTCACATGATAAAGACAGCCTTTCAATCATGTAACATGTTATAGTCCCATTTATCTTGCACTACAGAAAGATGAGATGGTCCTTTGATCTCACAAAAAAAATAAACATGGTTCTCTTTTGATCTCATAAGCTTAAGATTCAATTTAAATATCATAAAGATTGTCTTCCTCCCAAATTACATAATATGGTCTCCCATTTATCTCGCAATTTAAAAAGGTCATCTGATCTCACATACTAATAAGATGGTCCTCTTCTGAAATCATACGATTGAGATGGTCTTCCTCTGATTTCAAACAAGAAAAAATGGTCCTTCTCTGATCTCACATAAGATGAAGAGGGTCTCTTCTTTTATCTCACACAGGCCCCAACACTTTGATGGTACTATCTGTGTCTCAGTTGTGATGATCCTTTATAATTTATTGCATGTAGGACTGCCCACTCTTTGCTCTCTTACCCTAGTGTTCATGATGCATCCGACGCCGTTTTTGTACCAAGATCCAAAGCCAAAACAACCATGTACCGACGTACCCAGCCATATTGCCCCGCTCCACAGTCATTGAATTACGCAGAACTTCTTGTAATCTGCCTCAATTTCATCGTCAATTGGATTACGATCAGGGATTTTACCTGAGATGTCCGGGATGAAACAACGATAAGGAAGATTTTTACGCTCATAAAACTAAAGGTATGCATGGTCTGTGTCGATGTCACCTTTGACCTCCTGAGATAGAAATCAAGATAAAAATAATTTTATCACTTTGATTATTATGCCACTGTATAAAATAATAATTGATAATGTATATATTGTAATAATAATAATTAATATGCCATGTTATTTAACAACATCAATAACATGAAATGATTTTTTAACCATAACTTATTTATTTCTGTCATTTCTGAAATATTTCATAAACAAATCTGATAACATGTTATGGGAGAATGTAGGAATAAAATACTACATTATTTGGCTTGGGTTTTGAATTGAACCAAGCCTTGTGAGATTGGAATAAAGGCACCACAACCAACGAGTCACATCTTACCTTGACACTACTGTCATTGAAGCAGTACCATTTCTTGTTTGGATTAATGGCATAAGAAACATAATGTCCACCTCCTAAAATTCCTGTATGACACTATAAAAAAAAAAAAAAAATCAAAATTAATTAAAAATATAACAATAAAATAGAAATTAATATAATAATAGCTGTGATATTCGGTTTACCAGGTATTAAAAAAACTTTTACAAGATATACCTTGCAATCTTTCAGAATTTAGAAATAAACTACAGTACTGTAATTCAAAATTAACCTTTCTTATCTATAACTAATAATGGTGTTTCCACATCAGATGTGGGTTGTAGTTTATCAATGAATTAGTGTATGTGTATTTTATATGCAGAATCAATACTTACAGAAACTGCAAATAAGTCATACATAGGACCTTCTGGTTTTTCGGGAACACCTCCATTGGATGCTTCTGGAGGAAGTTTAAAGATCAATGGGTGATCATTGGTTGCATCCACAGGAGGGCTAAGACTACATGACCTGTCGCTGCTTTGATCGGATGAGATTGAGTGAGTTGGACTTGACCGTGTTTCCCCCTCTTCAAAATTATCCCCATTTCTGTGTCCGTCTATTTCATTTTCATTAATTTCTGAGTCAGATGTAACCCCATTTTGTTCTGCACTGTCTCTCTCAGATGAATTTTTTTGTGATGTTCCCCTGTGAGCTGGGGACCCCACTGTATGTCCACTTTCTGTTTTTGATTCTTTATTTGCATGGTCTTCATTCATATTGATTGCGCTAACATTAACCCCTTTCTCAGGTATGACCCCCTTCTCAGGTACAACCCCTTTCTCGGGTACTGTCTTTTTTGGCGTCACTGGTAGTAACGGTGTTTGGGGTATTTCTCGGGGAGCAAGGAAGTTTGATGGATCAAATTCTTCTTTTGGAAATTTGACAATTTTTTGTGATTTGACCCATCTCCCATTTACAAATTGAAATCTTTTCATATGAACAATCTGAAAAGACACCACAAAAACTTGTAGATAAATATGGCAGAACATATTGTATACTTACATCTTAAATTATTATATTATTTTTTTTAAAAGCATACATTAACATCATAAATATATCATAAGTCAAAACCAAGTAATTTTAAGCATGATTTCCTAAAATAGTTAAACAATATGTATACATTATTCTGTTTGCTTTTTGCATAGCATGTTTGCATGGCTGCATAC